CCACAGAAACGTGCCATGCTTCATTCTCATCAAGTCAGACCAGAGAGGAAGGGAAGGGGGGGGCAGAGGGAATAGCTGACCACCACCCTTTTTAGCTCCAGAGAACAGCCTCACGGCAGTGGCGCTTCGCCCCAGGCTCACTCTGCCTGGCCTTTTCGATGTTTGCTGTTTATTTTTTTATTTTTATTTTTTTGCATCCTCTGAAACACGACGTGAACATCTGATTAAGGCTTAATTTAAAGTGGCATCACCACAGAGCATCATGCAAGCACTGAACATCCTGGGGCGCGTGATGGGAGCCTGGGGCGGCGTGGGCAGGTTCCACCTGCAGCATTGCTGCACAATCCAGAGCCGAGAGAGGACACGGGGAGGCCGAGGCGTACGCACAGTGACGTCACACAGGGACTGCACGTGTGGGGGCCCATTCCAAATGCCTTCCACCAGGCCTTGCTGCTGGGGTGGGGGGAACACATCTCAATTCATTTTTGGTTCTTCTTCAATTATTTTATAAAAATAAAATGAAACTAGAAAAGTTGATCCCACTAAGGGCTGGGACCCTTCAGTACGCATTAGGGAAGCATCTGCCGAGTACCAGAGGTAAGAAAGCAAGCTTGACTCAGACCTGTGTCCTCCTGCACTGAACAAGCCACAAGCCACTGCACCACACACTGACTGGAGAATCATTCTCTATAAAGTTTTTTTTTTTTAATAAAAATGGCGCCTGTCTACAATTCAGAAGCGTGAACTCGCAGCTCCAACACTGACAGAGCTGCCACCCACTCGGGGCGCGCGTTCCACCCCCTGCAGCTGGCAGAGGGCTGAGGGCAAGGCCAGTCCAGCATTAAAACCCAGGACACTGCCGACTTCCGCTCCGACGCATCAGACTGTCCACCGAGAAAGTGCCTGGACTTGGCTGGGGGAAGGGACAGGGGCCGGGAGGACTGGATAGCGCCTTGCGCCTCCCACGCACTCCCAGGGACCATGGCCACCACCACAGACCCTCCCGCAGGCAGCCACGGGTGCAGAACCACCGGGTTCCGCTGATGACCACGGTCAAGGCCTGACTGAGACATGGGCTCACAGTGGACTTACAGTGTCAGGAGCCAAGGGCAGCCAGCAGGCAGCCAGCTACCAATGTAGAGTTGGACTGGCTCGCTTCCCAAGGGGATCTGGAAGATTAGAGTCCACATCCAGGCCCAGGGGCTGGTGTAGGTTTCCTCCTGGGGCTGTGGCAGTCTCCCAGAGCAGTGGGGACACCACAAGCACAGGAACCATCACTGCCACTAGTAGGGATGCCCCCGACGACAGTGCAGCCACGCACCAACAGAAGCCTGCTTGCTGCTCCTCGGGACACTGCCCAGAGGGCGGACAGCTCGGCCAGGGGCCCAGTCACACACCCTGCACCAACTCCTGCTGGAACACCTCCCGAGCAGCGGGCAGGCAGCCCACGCACAGTCTTCTGCAGGCTTACACACAGATGAGTGGATACACGCCTCCCGGGACCATGGGGAGAAGTACTCAAGGGGCCGCTGTCAGAAGCGCTGCTGCGCCATCTGATCTGCAGCCTGTGGAGAGAGAGCAAGGGGCACAGCCAGGCTGAGCGCTCTACCTGCCGGATGGCCCACACAGGGAGGCTCTGGACACAAAGCCCAGGCCCAGCGTCGGACGGCAGCCATGACCTTCCTTCCAAAGAGGGCCCTGGACTGAACCCCCGGCCTGGCCTTGCTCTCTGCCCTTAGCATCTTCAAGCGCAGTGATTGCAACTCCAGGCTCCAACGCCACACACGCCGTCTCCCGAAATAACCCGCATCGCAGCCCTGGGGCGAGGGCCGCGGCGAAGCACCTTCATGTTCACAGCATGGAAGAGGGAGCCATTTTTAACTCATTCATAAGCAAAGGGGACCAAAAAAAAAAAAAGTGCCTTCTTTGCGTGCCTAGGGGTGGGCGAAACCAGGCCTCAGCACGTGGGCCGGCATGGTGCCATGGCCAGGGTTTGGCACAGTTCTGAAGCCAGCAACAAACAGGTGTACACGGGCAGCTGGCAATGGTGTGGGCAGCTACGCCGAACAGCACATGTGACTCCATTCAAGGGTTCAGAGGTAGCTTTTATCTGCAATTGGTTTATTTACTTTTTTTTAACTTTTAAAAAATTTGTATTTTAAAAAATTTTTAAACTAAAAGGTATTTAGACACCACCTTCTTTAGTGATTTGGCTAAGCCAATACATTCATTTGAGACAAGAAACTGGCAAACATACCCAAGGAAGCCGAAGGCAGGGCACCGTGCGGGCCCTTGGGTGGCATTACCCACGTACGCCCAGTCTGGGCTCGCCAGGCAGCGAGACCCCAAACACAGCTGCCTGTCGGGGGCTGCAGCTCAGGCATCCGACCACGTGCGATCACAGAGCACCAGGGACAGCCACGGATGAGAGTGTGGGCACAGGAAGGATGGCAAGCCAGTACCCACAGCCCATGGCCCACATGGCCGTCAGCCTGGGTTGGGCGCCAGGGAAGAGCTGGCTGGTGCCACACAGACCCAGCTCCAGGCCTTGAGCTCCCGCAAGCGCTGCAGTGCCCTCCACCACAGCAGATGGAAAAGTCCCTTTGGAAAGACCAGAGAGCAAGGCCGATTTGTCCTTCCTACGTGGCCAGCAGACACAGTCCATGCGACCATTACACGTAACACTGAAGGCCGCGGCGGGACTGTGAATCCAGAGCAATGCGTCACGTTCCTACCATTCCTGTTACCGCGGCTATCTACAATCGTCTCCAACAAATACAGCAGATGCAAGGTTGGACAGAGTAAAAAAGAAGTTGTCAAAACAAAACAAAAAAATCAGTGCAATTATTATGAATTGAAAAAAATTGTCCTTACACTAGACTCGCCTGCTGTGCGCCGCGCACGTGTAGAGCGGACGGGGGCTTGCACCCAGTCCACCAGGCCCCGGTTCTGACTCCAGGGACTGGTGCTGAGCGTAAGGGGCAGCGGCAGAGCCAAAGACAAGCTGCCCGCGGCTTCTCCGGGCACTGGCGCTGGCACATCTAGATGGCAGCGGCTTTGAAAGCGCCCACAAGAAAGCACCCCACCAACGGCTACAGTGGCCGCGTGCTACGAGTCTCAGCTTTAACACATCGTATCAAATATATAATCTGACTGCAAAACTGCTCTGCAAAAATAAAATCTGACTCACCTAGCAGCCCAACGCGAAGCCTCACCTCGCTGCATTGAGTAAGAAAAACAATTCATCCAGAAAAACTACCTATGTGGCTCTCAAAAATAAGTCATCCGCAAGCTGGAGGGTAAACACGAGGCAATTTATAAAAGCTGGGGGAGTGCCCGCCACCAAGTCCCTACGGTGCCACGTGCACTGACTATCCACAATGACCACATGAAGAGGAGCGGGAAAAGAAAAAATAAATAGCAATACTCGCATTGAACAGCAATAAAAACAACACATGACAGAGGCGGCACTCATGCCCACCGGCACTGCTGTGGCCCTACTCCTCGCAGTCAGGTGACAGCCAGGGGGTGACGACAGGGGCACACGGCACGTGCCATTCCAGGGAGTGTGAGACGCGCACAGCCCCGAAGCATGTCAGGCTGCGGGGTGCGGCTGTCACGGCTTCTCCCAGGCGAGCCGCCTTCCCCAAGTTCAGCTTTCATCTCAACTTGGGCACGCCGGGCTTATGGTGCATCCGCAAGACCCAGTGACCATGACCACCGGAGTGGGAGCTAGGCCAGTGATGGACAGGCACTGGGGGCGAGGGGCTCTCTCCCGAAGAGATGTGAGCCCAGACACCCACCTCACGGCTTCCATGTTTGGCTTGCTGGCACCAGGTGTGCCTTCCATAAGAGCAGGGTAGGGACAAAGCCACTGCTGCTGACTACAGCGTCTCCCAGTCACAGGAGGGCTGTAGGACTTGAGGGGGGGCGGCGAGTGGGCAGGGGCCTGAGGAATACTCTGTACAGGCAGTGATAGTCCAGGCCACGCCACGCGGACCACGGGAGGCGAGCAGTCACCATGTACAGCTACCATCACAGCTTCTACCAAGCAAAAGCAGGCCAAGGCCAGCCCCACCCCATGCCTCCAACTTCAGGGCCCACCCGAGATGCGAGCGGCAGACACCGTCCCCTGGGATACGTGGCTTGGCTCCAGATGAGCGCTAGTGGCTCAAGCCGACTGAACTGCAGATCCTAGAGGTAGATCTGGCCATGCGATGCAGCCCCCTTAGCTGGAGCATGCCTGGTGATTTGAGCTGAGGGTCTACCCGTGCCACCTGCCCATAGACAAGGGGTGGCGATGCTTCTGACAGCAAGGCTTCTGTCACCAACACAGATCTGGGAAAAAACCAAAGACACAGCAAGAAGAGACGAACGCCGTGGGCAGGACAGCACACACGGACACACGCACACTACTCCAGGATCTGTCTTCACAAATCATAGTCGCCCCTCGTCACTGCTGCGGCGCCCAGGAGGCGCGTGCAGCACCCCGCACCCTTCAATCCCCCCAACAGAGAGTGGCCCAGCACAAGGCACCAGCGTTGGTCCCTCCCTCCACCGCTGTGCCAGAGGTAAGTGTCACGCAGGGCAGGGAGGGAGGCCGAAGGACCAAGCAGCACGCGGGTAGGGGAGGCGCCTCCCTGGAAATTTTACATGCAACACGGGTTTGATTCCCCCTAGAATCGCACACAGACAAACAGGGTGTCCAGCACCCACGGCGCTGCCTCCAGCCGCGTGGCCAGGCACCCGTCCATCCTATGACACTTGCCGATCACAGTCATACCTAGGACAAGAGCCCTCAGAGCCTCGTGGGCCCGTGACCTGGGCTGACGAGCCGGCAGGGAAGTGGTGAGTGGCTGAGGGGGCACGGGCTGCACAACCCACTTGGGCAGGGGTGGGGGAGGGAGGGACCGCGGTCACATGAACTACATCTGAGCGCCGAGAGCCCACGGGGCGGCCAAGCATCCCGAGGGAGAAACGGCGTGTACCTATCACATTAATACTGCAAACCAGACATATATTTTCTCTCTTACATCACAGACAAACAGGGGAGGATTGTACTGTATTTGTCACCACAGACCCGTATTCTTCAGAAACTTTGGAAAGTAAGTGTCACAGTCCTGCAGGACGTATCTGATGATTGGACTCTCGGTACATCGTCTTTTTTTTAAATACATTTTTTTTAAAAATGGCACTTGTCTGCCAATCTCTGAACCGGTCACTGCTGTAAACACAGGCACGGCCGGCCTTCTGCCGCTGCCCCTCAGCGCAGGCCGCACACAGCCACGGCCACCTCGGCGGGGCCGGGGCCCACGAGCGACCCCGGGCCCACGGCGTCAGTGACACATCAGAAGGTTCAAGGCTTTAAAACCACAATGGTGTTTGTCGCTCTCCCTCCTGGAGCTAGTTTGAGCCCATCAATTTCATAGACAATCATGTGTTAAAAACAAGTAAATCGAGTGACCAAATAAATTAAAAATGTTTTAAAGCCCTGAGTTCATAGATTGGTTTTAGGAGATTTGTTTTTAGGAAACACGGGACTCTATCTTAAATCAGCAGCTCATAGATTTTGGCAAACCCTATTTCCTACGACGGTGGGGGTCTCATACAGGCCTGCAGCTCCAAATCCAAGTTTGAAATCTGGGACGGAAGGCATTCTGGGAAATGGAGAATCGGATAAAACCAACGGTGTCTCCTGCCCGATGCCCGGAGCTAGCTGTCGGGGCTGGGGGTGGCTGGTCTCGTGTGAATCCGACTTGCACAATCGCTGAACACGAACACGTCAAGCAAAGTACATGGTGCGCAGTGTGTCCTGGTGGACCTGGACCGCCTTGGCCAGCGCCTGGTGGTCTCGCCCGTTGCTCTGGCCGGAGGTGTGGCTGCCTTCAGCGCTGCGGGAGAGAGCAGCTGTTAGCCAACTGAGCGGTGCTGCGGGGAGAGGCGGGGAGGGGACGAGCCCCGAGGCCTCACCTGTCATGCTCCTTGTCCACCAGGTGGTACCTGGCCCGGAAGGCGACCAGGTGAGCATAGTAGGCTGGCGCGGGGATCGACACGGAGCGCGTGCAGCGCACGTAGGTGTGACACAGCTGGTAGGTGAGGATCTGCAGCTCGTCGGAAGAGAAGCGATTGTCGTCCCACAGAACGTGGTAGTGGGAAGGCCTGCTTGTCCCCTGGAAGCAGGCCAAAGCGCAGTCAGTTGTGAGGACCATCTTTCAGGAAAGAAAGGTCCCCCGAAAGAGTGTTACTGACGGGGGTCACACGGCAGGATCCTGCTGAGGACACTGCGGCCACGTGCACGAGTGGGAGTGTCCATCACCTACAAGGTACGGGAGCACCTCAGCGATGGAGCACAGCAAGGTGGGGGAGCCCACACCCCAGTGCCTGCTCGAGGGCCAGTCTCACATCAATGGGACCCTGCCTGCCACCCAGGCGGGAGACCCGGATTCAGTGCTGGCTCCTTGGCTGGTTCAGTTGTGGCTTGTATGGGCTGCTATGTGGAGTGAGCCAGCAGACAGAAGCTGTTCTTTTCTGTCACAAATTCAGAAAGCCTGTGTGTGTGTGTGTGTGTGTGTGTAATTTCCCTAAGGCACAGCAATGGGTCATGCCGATGACATGCTGGGGACCTGGAGCCGAGGCCTGTGTGCTACAGCACGCAGCAACATGCCGAGCCTGAGACCCATGTCACGTGGGCCGGTGCAAACAGCACACATGTGTAAGACACAGCTCACTGAAGCTGGTATGCGACAAGGGGTTCCGGAAGTCCACGGGAAATGCGCTCATCCTTTAATCCCACTTCCTACTTTGTGAAGTTCCTGCATGTGTCGGCCTTCTAAAACATCCCTGACACAAGCCCTGTGAACAGCATCCGCACTCCGCACTCCAGCAGGTGCAGTGAAGGCAGGGACTGCTGGCCCCTCCCCTCCCTGTCCTGCCCTTCCAGCGTGGCCCAATCTCCCCAGACAAGCGTCCCTGGCAGCGGGATCTCCCGTGATTGGGTGAGGCCCTGACTGAGGGCAGCCGGCTCTGCTCCCCAGTGACAACGTGCCGGGGCATCCTCTCACACTGGGATGTGAAGCACCACCACCCGAGCCACAGCTCCACCCACAAGTGGCATAAATGATGTGGAACTTTCAACAATTCCAACGGAATATGAAAAGTTCAAGTGCAGCGACAGTTACGGATAAGATGCCAGTTTGCATGGGAGTGCCTGCACGCACGTCCCAGTGTCCTGTGCTTCCGAGGCCAGGCTCTGCTTCCAGGGAAGCAGCACAGAGTGGCCTAGCCATAGACAAGGGGGTTCCAGGCTGGGGCTTCAATCTGGGACAGCTTGGCTGTTGGGGGTATTTGAACAAGCTAACCTTTTTTTTTTTTTAAGATTTATTTATTTTTTATTACAAAGATACACTAAGAGGAGAGACAGAGAAGAAGATCCTCCATCCAATGATTCACTCCCCAAGTGACCGCAACGGCCGGTGCTGCACCAATCCAAAGCCAGGAGCCAGGAACCTCCTCTAGGTCTCCGACTGCTTTCCCAGGCCACAAGCAGGGAGCTGGATGGGAAGTGGAGCTGCCAGGATTAGAACCAGCACCCATATGGGATCCTGGTGCGATCAAGGCAAGGACTTTAGCAGCTAGGCCACCATGCTGGGTCCCAACCTCCTTTTTCTTCCCGTGCCAAGCAAGTGACAATAAGCCAAGTTCACAATGAACCTAAGCCAAATCCCGTAAGAAATCCTGCTAGCCACTGTTGAGCCCGGGCCCTCACGTGCCTTCCCCATGTGCACGTGCCGATGCCCAACAGTGCCCAAGCAGCCACCCCACTGTAAGCCAGCACCCCAGGATCTCTGCTGGCCGAGTGCACAGGCGGTGCTCACCTGGATGCCGGCGTGGCTGCACAAGTAGAAGTCAAACTCGGTTGGGTGCGTGATCTTGGTGTCCACGGTGGTGCCTGCTGGAATGTTGCCACTCTTGCCAACCTGTATGACAGAGGAAGCTCGGAAGGCAGGGTGGTGGGCAAGCCCATAGGCCAGCACAGCACAGGTGCTCGGCGCAAACGAAGAGCTGGATTCAGCGACAACCACCACAGTCACACCGGTTAATGCTGTCAGGGCTGGGGCCATCTCTGGCTACATTTCATGATGGGCCAAAATTTCCACACAGCCCTCTACTCTGGCTGCTGCTACTCTGATTTTGGGCCAAGACAGAAATCATCCCTAGCTACTGACTGGGCTCAAGACACTGACAGCTGCTCCACTCTGCCCCAAGCAGCCCTGGCACACCAGTCCTCAGGGCTGTTGGCAGGCTCCAGCGTGGGACATTTCAAATACAGAGAGCAGACCGTGCCTGCGTACTTAGAGCACTTCAGTAATAAGTACTAGGGGCTTAATACTTGGCTTTTCATCAGCCTTTTTCAACCTTTAACTTTCTGAAACAAAGAAAGTACTGGAAGCTGTGGTGCCCTCTGACCTCTTGCAGACCCTTCGCCCCACCTGCCCCGTCCATTTCCCATTTAGATTGATTCCTCCTGGCCTTCTGTTGTTGCTACACCTCCCAGTGTTGGCCAGCATGACACTCTGCTACTTTCAAATGTGTGTGCATGTGTGCATACCCCACACTCTGGCTCATGTGTGTGTGCCTGCCCGCACACTCCGCACTCCAGCTTGTGTGTGTGTGTGTGTGTGTGTGTGTGCGCGCGTGCACTCGGGCTCCAAGAGGTCAGTGTGACTGGGCAGCTGACGTGAGCGTACTCCCACCCGCTGGTGGCCGTCACCTCACATCCTGGTGCCTGCTCCTCACATCTGTATGGCCACACCTCCCGCAATCTCCGCCCCATGTTCCTGTCCCTCACGCCTGGGGCCAGCCAGGAAGGAAGGAAGGGTGAGACTCGGTGCCAGCCTATAGTCAGTCCAGGCGGGGTCTGGAGCTGAGCCTGGGATGCTGGGCTAGAAGCGCTGACCTGACCCACACACTGGCCCACGTCCAGGCCCACACTCAGGCTAACTGTACTTGACCATTCTCGAAAGCCGTCCCTGTGGGATCACTCCCTCTGAGCTGGCGAGGCTTGCCACACGGCCAGCACCACGCACACAGTTCAGCTGTGATTTCCATTAGCACCACACAGCACAAGGCGCCAGGCTGGCACCTGGGAGGGACTGGGAGATGATCTAGCACCTGTGCCTCTACCACCAGGTGGGACTCCTGGATGGGGTATCTGGCTCCTCGCTTTGGGTTGACAAAGCTCTGGCTGTCACGGCCATTTTGGGAGTGAACCAGTGGACGGAAGATCTGGGTCCTCTCGGCCTTTTATAAATCTCTGAAAACTGAATCCTGGAGTGTCAGTGTTGTGGTGCCAGCAGGCTAAGCTGCCAGTGGGGTGCTTGGGATCCAGTCTTGCCACGCCTCCAGCCAGCGGCCCTGGGGCAGCACAGCGTCCTGCAGAGGACATTCTGGGCTCCCGGCCCTGGGTGCTGAGCCATCAGGCCAAAGAGCGCTAGGTGTCAGCCCCTCCCTCCCTCTGCCATTTGCTTCCCAAATTAATAGACACTCCAATACATGAGAGTGTCTAGGCGATGCCGAGAGCCGTTCCTGGTACGCCCCGGGACTGCGAGCGACAGGGCGGCTGCAGGCGGCCTTCTGTGAACAACGGGCAGCGCCAGCCCGTCTGTGGTCACGGTGCTCCAGGCCTTCGGGACCAGGCCTTCCTGGTTGAGTCTTGCCAGGCCTGTCTGAAATCGGGCAGGCTCTGATTTTAGTTCACTCTTCTGTCTCCTTTCTATTTCATTATTTCTTTTCTGGGAAGGGAGAACAGGTGCAGGAGGGCATGGGGGTGCCTGTGTGGCCCTGAGCACTCCCCACTTGTGCAGCCCGTGACCTTGTCCATGGCACACACAGTGGAAGGCTCTGGAAGAATGCCCTGGCTCTCAGTCCCCAGCATTCCCTGGGCCACCTCTGTCTTCGCCCACAGTTCCTGCCAAGTTCCCATACACGGAGCTCAATGGCTCAAGCTTTTTAAACTTCCCTTTTTATTGTCGACATGACCTTTCAATGTGTAAGGAAAATAAGCTCCCGGTGAGACTAAGGTTTGGAGCTCTGGGCTGGCACTGCCCCGCGTGTGCGTACTGACCCACTCACTCAGCTCCTGACACTTCTTACCAGGATCCAGGGAGATGTGCTGAGACAGCTGCCTGCACGGTGGGCTGGCCCACTTCAGTGTCATAGCTCTGCCCTGGCCGCTGATGCTGTGGGCACAGCAACTGCTGTCTGTCTTGTGCTCACAATGTTGATGCTGAGGTAGGTGTGTGTGTGTGCGTGTGTGTGTGTGTAGGGGCTCGCACACTCACCCGCTCGTTCTTGTCTGTGCAGAAGAGCCTGGTGTGGTGGCGCTTCTGCACCACTATGAAGGTGATGCCTGGCTGGTAGTCCTTCTCCAGCTTGATGCAGGCCTCGCGGATGGCCAGCAGCTCGTGATGCAGGACCTGAGCAGGGAGGGGCACAATCAGGAGCGGCTGGGGTGCGGAGGCATCTTGCCCCCCGAAGCCCCAAGCATAGTGTGTGTTGTAACCAACACCAGCGTGTGACCAGGAGTGCAACTTCACACTCGGTAGAGTTGTGGCACCCAGCTGCTCAGCAGCCACACCTGCTTCTCCACTGGGGAAGGACCGAGTCTGAGTGACAGCTCTACGCCACGTGGCCGAGCCACCCACAGAATGTGTGCTTGGACCCTGTCCCAGTCCACTACGTCTCAAGTGAGAATGTTGCACCTCTCAGGCTTCAAGTAGAGAGGGCCAGCGCCAGGCTAAGGGGCTGGGGTACCAGCACCTGCATTGATGCCCCACAGGCATGAGGCAGTCCTGTTCTCTTCAAGGTGGGACGGGCTCGCAGCACAGGGCAGCACAGACAAAGCCAGACTGCACACAGTTGTAGCAACTGTACCAGCCAAAGGCCATAGTGCTCCTGCCGAGTCCAGGAAGCCCAGCTGTGCTGGCCAGGTGGACAGAAGCAGGATGGCAATAGGCCTGCGAGCCCCAGCTGGCAGCACCACAGGAGCTCCAAGCTGGTTCTTGCCAGTAAGGGCAACCTGGCCCAGAGCAGCAGTTCTGTTCACCCAGGAGACCAGGAGGCAGTATGCGTGTTTGTCTAGGGCTGCCCAGCTGCCCCGCCAAGGACCAGGCCTCGGCAGGCCCAACCAGGGCACTCCCACCTGGCTGGACTTCTAGGGCAGTGGAGTGGGCGTTGTAAGCAAGCAGCCCTGGCTCACGGGAATAACAGGTCAACACCCGCGTGCTGGGCCAGAGCAGCCCCGTTACTGCCTCGGCTCAGCCCTGCCCCTCAGCTGGGCTGACTCAGCTCTTCACGAGCGTACTGGGGAGCGGCTCTGCTAGAGAAGGTGGGTCCCCGACACAGCAGGAGGTGGCCCACCTGCTGGAACTGGCCCTCCGAGACGCCGTCCCGGTAGAAGATGATGCGGGTGGGCTTGAAGCGTGTGGACTTGTAGAACTGGATGAGCAGCTCACGCACCATGGCAGCCAGGTCCTGGATGATCTCCTGCCGGTGCTGCTGCACCCGCACCGTGGCGCAATAGCGGTTAGGGTGGGCGTCCATGCTGCCCACAACCTGTGGGGACAGGCAGTGAGCACGTGTTGCGGGCTCCCCAAGGCACCCTCTTGCAGAAGACACACAGCACAGACCCAGGGTGGCCACAGGGCCTCCATCATGGCCAAGTGCCCCTGCTCTCCTGGCGAGATGTGTACTCACACCTTCCATTTATAAGAGATGTGCTGACCAGACTACCCAGTAGTGCCCTGCACCACGGTGGACAACCATAATCAAGAGAATGGGCTCGCGGTCCCCAGGGAGGGTGGCCATCTCCAGGGGAATTGGGGCTAGGGACCCACGGGGCTTGCTGGGACTCCTGCTGGCTCCTCCCCCACCGTGAGTTCTGGAAACGCTTAACGTAAAGACACCCCAGGCGCCCTGGTCAGAAAGCACTGCTCTGCCTCTGCCCTGGAACCATTTGCAGAACAGCTTCCCTAGCGAGTCCTGCATATTCCAGGCCCTCCGCCCGGCCCTGGCTACAGCTATGCTCCCAGGTCAAGCTGGTTTGCAACATGCTCCAACTGGGTGTGACTGAATGGATGGCTGTGAACTCTGAACTGGGGACAGGAGACAGCCCCCCAGCTCCTTATGGGGCGCCGGGAGAGGCAGCCTTAACTGGCATCTCACTCAGTGCCCCAGTCGGCTTTCCGTCAGACAAACCGCACACGTGAGCAGCATGTGCGCAGTGGGTGAACCCCAACACACAAGGCTGCACGTCTCCTGGGTGAGACCCCCTCCGACCCCGAATTTTCATCACCACATCCCTGCTGGCTCCCCCTCCAGTCCCCTCCAGCACCAGCCCCCACCCATCCATGGGGACAAAACCCTGGCCGAGGGGTGTGACCGGACCTCGGGCCCTGGAGGGGAGCAGGGGTATGGCTTCCCCCAGAGGATACTCACGGCAGCGATTGAAGGCTTCTTGCCATCCCCAGCAGGGGGGTGAGTAACATCAGCACCCAGAAATATGACCGGCTGCTGGAACACAGGGGGCCTGTGGGGGGAGGGAAGCCGGCGTTAGCGCGCACAGGTACCGCGGTCAGGCTGTGACGCCCCTAGGACAAGGGCAGTAACCGGGAGAGGAGGCCACGGGGGCGGCCAGCCGGCACACCTCAGGCTCTTGACAGCTTCAGCAGCCGCTCACACTTGGCACCTGTGTCGGCCTACAGTGTTCCGGGCATCTCTGTGAGCACAATGAAATGCATCCACTAGTGGCGAGGACATGGCGGGAGCAGTGCTCTGGTCTCAATGGACAGAGGGCTGCACTCTGTAGCCCAAGCGGCCAAGAGGATTGTCTTGAGGCTTCCATGTACACTCCTGAAGACTCCAGAACCTTCTCTAGCCTCTCTGAATTCCTTATCACTTGTCAGGTCCCTCCCTGCCCACACTCCAGACAAGGTCCCTGGTTGTGGGCCGCTCCTCTCTCCCCTGGGCTGGGTCAGGCAGCGGCTTCATCTCCCTGCTGTTCTCGGCCAGTCCACCTGCCAGGACCATGTGGCTAGGAGCCCCTATAGCAGAAGGCCAAGCACATCAATGAAAGAGGGGCTAGGGAAGGGGCACCCCACATCTTGCTCCCTTTCCAGGTATTCATCCCATTTGAGGGCTTGAGTGCAGTCTTGCCTGGTGCAGGGGCTCCAGGCCTTGACCCAGGCCTGCTCGCAGGATGCTGCACCTGCCCTGGGAGTGGGAGTCTCCGGGGACCCTGCCCTCATGACCCAAGTGCAGGTGGCGAGGGCTTCACCTGTGCATCCGTGTCAGTGGCCAGCACATGTCGGGCAGGAGCCTGCCATGCTCTGTCCACACTCTCACTGGCACAGAGCCGCTCTGCAAGGCCTTGCCAGCACAGCCACGAGGTAACAGCAGCTGTTGTTGGATTGTGCCTCCAAGCAAGTGCACCCTACCCAAGCCCCACGCGATTCTTTCTCTCTGTCCCCTCCAGGTCCTGCTGCCCATGCAAAGCTCCCGCATTCACTGAACCCATTAGAGCCCCCGCTAGTTGAAGGCAGGTTGCCATGGCAACAAGATGGCTTCCCAAGGTCCTCAGAGACTTTCATATCACCCAGACAGACACATCTTACACTGCACCATGGTGGCTCGCCAGCATGCTGTGACAGGACAAGCTTGCACAGCTGTCTAGGGCCTGGCTGGCTCTCCTCCCTCCAACTCCACCCCAGCCTCACCCCTTCTGACCTCTAACCCTGACATTCTCCAGGGTCCAGCACTGCCCCTACAAGGGGTCCCATTCCTGCGGTCTCATTGTCTCTCTTTCCTTCATAGTCCATGAGTACGGGGCTCCACCCACATGCACTCAGGCCAGCGTCCTCTCCCTGGATGAAGAGGTGCAGTCAGCCCCAGCATGCTCAGCAGAGCCGTGTGGTCACCTGCAGCCCTGCGAGAGGTTCCGGCTGTTCGGGCACCTGCAGCCCGCCAGACTCCCCTGTGCTGGAGGGCCTCCTCAAAGCTCCAGGCGACCCCTTCCAAGTGCTGCTGCCTTCCTCCCCGGGGACAGGAGCGACACGCCTACGGGGGCCGCACTCAGGCTCCTGTGGCCCCGGCAGGCGTCCCACATGCCTCGCTCACAGTGGACAGGGCCTGCTGACCATGGAAATGGCGCTCCCAGTTCTCAGCGCGCCTGTGAACTTGGGCAGTGAACAAACCCTCACCACCATGCCCATACCCAGGTCCTCCGTGGCAGGCAGGAGCTTGGTCAGAGGCTGTGAACTCTGGGGGTGTGCGTGCAGAGGTGACTCCATCCCGTCCCCTGTCCCCCACCCCATGGTCCCAGTCCTCAGTGGACAGCCCGAGCACAGGCTGCCTCTGTCCGGTCCCGCCAGGGGCGGCTCCAACCCCAGCGTCTGCCCCAGGCTGTCGGGCAGACCTGGCTCAAACAGCGGCCAGGCCACACGGGAAGCCACCTCGACTCCTGGTCTCCTCCTCTGACCCTGCCCTTGACCCTCACACTGGGCCTGGGGAGGGCCGCCCAGCCTGACCCGCGCCTCACCTGCCCTGGGGAAGCAGGATGTTGTTCACGCCGCCCAGCTTGACATTGATCTTCAGGCAGAGGTTGGACAGGGTCTGCGGCGTGGTCCTCTGCACGTTCTTCATCTGCACGCACTGCGTGGCCATGCCCAGCACCGTGTCCCCGACGCGTTTCACCTCAGCTGCGGGGCGTGAGAGGCACACACCACTTAGCTCACACGAGCACCTCAACCAGTGTGGCCGCCGTCGGCAGCCTGCACCCCACCCGATGCGGCAGAGCGTCCACAAGGATCTGTGTGCAGGCCCCGCAGCTGTGAGCACAGGGGTTCCGGGTTGGAGGGAGGTGGAGAGCAGGTTCGTGCACCTGTGCCAGCCCACCTGCCTCAGGAAGGAGACTGACGCAGCAACTAAGAGCATTGGAACACGTTTGCAGGGCCAAGAGCGGGGTGGGCAGGGCCCTGCGAGGGCTGAGGGCCGAGGGTGGGGTGGGCAGGGCCCTGCGAGGGCCGAGGGCGTAGGATTTCTAAGCAAGGTAATAGCATCCGGCAAAGGGCTCACAGCACACGTGAACACTGGATTGTTAAAAATAAAGAGCAGCATCCTCAAAACCCCTGGCAGATGCAAATCCGACATCAAAGCGCTCCCCAGGCCATTCCCATTCTAGATTCTTCCAGGAAGCAGCTGGGCCACCCCTCAGCTGGCCCCGGGCCGCTCTGTGGGAACACTGACTCGGGATGGTATTAATAGCAGCGCCAGTGGCCATCCCTGCTGCTTTTTTTGGAGCCTGGGCTTGGAGGCGTGGGGCCCAGCTCGCAGGCACCACTACTCTGTCGCTGGCTAGCTGCAGATACCCTGGAAACATCCTCCATGTCCCTGCACACTCTGGCTCTCTCCCGGCCAGCTGGGCTCCAGAACGGCATGTGAAGAACAAAGACAGAGCCCCGAGTCCCAGTGGGCGCCAACGGGGTACAGGGCTCCCGCACTGCATGGGGTGGGCCAGACGCCGCTCTGAGCCCTGGGCTCCCAGCCTGAGGAGTTGCCAGCAATGTGGCCTCACCCTGCACTCTGATCAGCAGGGCGGCAGCCAGTCCGCCCGCCCACCTCCTCTGCAGGCAGGCAGAGTGGCATGCAGCCAGCCAACGCTAGCCCTGCAGATACCAACCATAGACGGGTGTCTTGCCGGGCAGAATGACCACCACGAGCTGCAGGCCGGCATACGTGTTCTTTAGGTGCCGGAACATGGGCTCCACGCTGTCGGCGCCCTGGGCATACTTGCAGAAGCACGGCTGGCCCTGGATGGGCATCCCTGCATCTCGTGAGATCTTCCTCAGCTGCTCCGTGAAGGACCTAAACAAGACAGCAGCATCAGCACCCCATGCTATAAGACGGGGGCACTGTGAGCATGCCCCAGTGGGACCCCAATAAAATCAAGCATGCCAGGTCCACACAGGGACTCAGGCCTGCACGGTGCTACCTCCAGCAGGACAGAGAAGGTCCCGACTGTTCACACTGCCTTGCCACCGGACACCCCAGGCTGCTGGTGGAGACAGCCTGACCTTTCAAAGCCCATGCAGCAAGCCCTGGGGTGTGACAATGGGACAGTCTCAGCTACTGTCCCTATGCACTCCACAGTGACTCTGGCTGGTACCACCCAAGACTTGGCTAACCAGCCGAGGAAACCAAGCAGCCCAAGGCAACACGGTGCCCGCAGCTTGGGTCGGTGGGGAGCAAAGCAATGGCTACTGCTGAAGTAGGTTGGTATTGTGGCACAGCGGGCCAGGTCACAGTCTGCAACTCCAGCAGCCTGTATGTGAGCTGCCATGCATCTACTAACGTGCCTGGGGAGGCAGCAGAGTGTGGCCCAAGTGCCTGTGCCCTGCGTCCACGTGGCAGACGTAGACGAGGCTCTGGGTTCTGGCCTGGCCCAGCTCTGTGGCCATTTGGATAGGGAAGCAGCAGATGGAAGACTTTTCTCTCTCTCTAACTCTGCTGATCAAGCCAACAAACACTTTGCTTTCTAGAATCTGGGGGACATGGTGAATTAATACGAACTCAGCCAGTTAGCTGTTCAATTTCTTGCATATCCGTGCAGCTTCGGGAAGGTGGTGGGTGATTCCTGTCATGTATTTAGAAATCAGAGAGACAGATGGTTGCCCCTCCAAATGCCTGCGGTAGCTGGGCTGCCTTAGACGGGATGATGGGTTCCAGACAGGAGCCTGGCACTCCATCGGGGCTGCCAACTGGGGCCCATGCACCTGAGTCCTCCCCGACTGCTCTCAGCGGGCGCAGCACAGGAGGCTGGTCAGAGGCAGCTGAGCTGGGACCAGCACTGAGAAGCACATGGGCTTCACCAGCAGTGGCCGCAGCCCCTGCGCCGCACTCCTGCTTCCAGGTCATCGCACTGGCAGTTGCCACGCCCAGCAGCCTGAGTCCCCCAGAGTCTGGATTCTTCGAGCTGCCAACTCTGTCTAGCTGATCAGGACCAGTGTGATGGTGCAGTGGGTGACGCCAGCATTGCACATGGGTACCAGTTCAAGTCCCAGCTGTTCTACTTCAGATCCAGCCCCTGCTGATGGCCTGGGAAAGCAGCAAAGGATGCCCCCAGTGCTTGGGACCCTATACCCATGCGGGAGACCAGGATGAAATTTCCGGCTCCTGGATGCAGAGCAGTCCAGTTCTGGACGTAATGGCCTTTTGGGGAGTAAACTAGCAGATGGAAGATCTCTCTCCCTCTCTAACTCTCTTTCAAATAAACAAAAATACATAAATAAATCTTGTAAGAAAGTTTTTCTGCCACATCCACCCATGCCCATCAGTCCCAGTTTCCTCCTTGCTTCTGTGCCAGGGCTGCCAGGGCACGGGCAGAGCATGTGTCCGGAGTGCTCCTTCTCCCCTTCTTCCCACCCTTCCCTTGGCCTGTGAAGGAAAGACAACTGTCCGGCCTCCTGCCTCTGCCTGCACCGCCCTGTCCCAGCTGCCTCGCTTTTCTCAAGCTCACTGCATCGACAGGCGTGAAGTGACACGTGCTGCTGGCTTACTTGAGGTGGACTTCGGTGCACTGGCGCTGGGGTGCGAAGCAGGCGATGGCCCACACCTTGATCTCAATGCCCGTGTGGAACTGCTTGTTCCGCATATCCCAGACACCTTGGACAGGTGTGGCAATTGCTTTATTCTATAATGAGAAGGGATTCAGAGTGACAAGTGAGAAACACACTCCTGGAGCTTTGAGCTTCGTCGCCATTTGCTCTGCAGTTTCCCAGAGGACGAGAACTTAACCTTGGAGGTGTCCCCCACCTCCAAGCTGCCCAGCACTATAGACACCCTGCACAGGTGGGTGGAGGGATGAGCAGAGGGTGGCAGGGCAGCTGGGGCAGCATGGATGCCGAGATGTCAGAGGGCGAAGGCACTGCAATGTGCAATAATGTCAGCCGCCATGCCTTACAGGGACAGGACCAGCTCAGCGTTGTCCTTGAGGAAGCTCAACACCGTGTTCAGGTGTTTGCAAGGACTAGGGCTGGGACAGGAAGAACAGTGTTCACGCAGGCGATGGTCTGACGCCTGCCCAAGGCCTGTGAGGCGACGGTGCCCGAGGCCTGAGGCACCAGGCCAGGGCCCCGATGCTCTCCTGGGCTCCTCAAGGCAGCTAGCCTTATTCCAGCTTGAGCAATATGAGCGTGTGTGCAGTCTTCACACACCACAGAAGGGAACCTCGCTGCTGTGCTCCACGCCAGCCTTCTCCGCAGGCGACAGCCCACAGCCTGAACCTGTGCATTCACGGCCACAGGCCCAGCTGGCCCAGACGCATGAACTGGTGGCCCTGTTCTGAAGACTGAACTGATGCCTGGCACCAGCTCAGCAAGATGGAGTTGGAGGCCCTGGATCACCAAAAGGACATACTCAAAAGCTCGTGGATGCAGTAGGGGCTGCGAGTCCCATCTCACAGGCTCAGCCTGTACCGTGGTCCACCTGCAGGGGAGGGCTGCCTCTTGAAAGCCATGTCCCCTGCCCGCCCAACACCTACCCTGCCCCCGTACAGGATGGAAGGCGGCTGCAGGACCCGCCCCGTCACGTCTGTCATCTCATCCTTGACCATGATTCCAAACTCACGAACGTATGGGTCTGTGTTGAAGCTGGCGCTTCGCATCTATGAGAGGGAGCAGAGCCGGGTAAGCCAGGGTCCTGCCGGCCAGCGTGCCCCCGCCACAGCCCTGACGTGGACACGACAAGGACTCCACGCAGCACCCACCAGCTTGCTGATCTCTTCTTGCCGATCGGGTGCCGACCTGGCAGTGGCTCTGATCATGGTTGAGGTCTGATTGTCTGTTAGTTTTTTTATGCATCTCTGACCAGCCACGATATTGCAGACCTGTGGGGACACACAGCGACAGGTGTCAACAGCAGGGGTAGCAGGCAGCGAGGCAGGGCTCTGCCCGCAGAGCCTCATCCATCTCCACAGTCTGTGGGGACTCCACAGGCCCCTGACATGCTCCCCAGGAAGGTCTGTGGGCTGGCTGCAGGTAGAAGGCCCCCAGAGCTAGGCCAAGAGAAGCCAGGACCCCAAGGCAGCCATCAGGAGCTGGCCGAGAACTTGACTCTGAAGGAAGAGATGCTGGCTCTCCAGTCTCAGTACTTGATTTTCCCAAGGTAAGTTAGGTTGGTTTTTAAAGGATTTCTTTTTTTTTTTTTTTTTTTAATTTGACCGGCAAAGGGAGAGAGGGGATGAGAGGAGAGAGAGAGGGAGTAGGCTAGGGACGGCTGGGGCATTGCCCAAGCTGTCTAGCCGCACGCAGGGCGAGACTTGCCTCCAGGGGAAGGTAGGTATGCTTCTGCTCCTGGCCGACCTGCAGACACGGGAGGTGGGGGTAACGCAGAACCAGCTTGTGCCTGTCCTTGAAGTACTGGGCCACCGTGCACTCCACTGTCTGCCCGCTCTCTTGCTGCAGTGGGAACCTGGGGACAGAGTGGCAGCTCAGGAGGGGGTGGATGCCACTGGAGCCAGCCACCCCTGCGCGTGCCTTTCAGGTGCATAGAGAATCAGCATTCACATGGAAGGCCAGGGTGTGGCCATTCCCAGAGGGCAGACCCACGTGGGTGCAAAGCCATGAGTGTCGGCTTCTGCACTGACTGCTCTGCTCCATCCCATGCACCTGGCCTCTGACCAGGGAAGCGGACAGCAGGGCCAGCCTGCTGCTGGCTGTGGTCCTGGAGCACGAACACAGCGCCATGCCCTGCAGTCAGGCAATGACTCTGGGACAACCCGCAGGCCAAACCAAGTCCCTCAAGTGGCCACACCACACCCGTGGAGGGCAGGAGCCCATGCCTGCCTGATACCCCCGCGGCCAAGGACTGGATGGCAAACAACTTCCTCCCGTGCTCAGACACCAGGCTGGGGAGGCGGCTTACGTCTGGTGGCTGGCAGGCCGTCGGGTCACGTTGCAGACACGGTACTTCCTCTTCATCTGCCCACAGTGCGTGATTTCCACCTTTAGACCTGTGGACAGAGCGGGCTTCAGGGCTGTGTTCAGCCTGTACCTGCAGGGACAGCTCCGCGGCTCACCATGGTCTGCCAGAGTTGAGCTCCAGCCCCCAAGGGAAGGGAGGGAGGCTCGTGGCAACGGCCACATCTGCAGCTGCCTCAGCCAGGGGACAGCATCCACCCAAAAAACACAGATAACCTGGCAAAGCCAGAGTTGGGACACGGGGACCTCTAGGACTTGCTGGTGGGGCAGAATTGGTCAACCTCATACCTGGCAAACAGGCCCAGCTAGCAGGAGCCTCAAGTTCATCATGGTGACCTCTCATAGCCAAAAACTCAATGGCTCTGCCTGTCAAAGGGGCCCATCGGGGTCACCCTAGACCGATCAGGGTGCGCCCTGTAAATGGCTAACCTTCCTAGACACCCACCAAGAAGACGGCCTTCCTGGTGGGAAGCCCCGCCCCACATGATTGCGAGTCTGCAAGATACACAGCCCTTGCCCAGGCCAGGGGCAGGAAGCAACACTGCCCACCACTGGCACCAACAGTCACTTGGGCGAACTCTTCCAGCCAACCCTTGCCTGCAGTCTCTGGTACTGTTATTCAATAAAGTTCTTCCATCTCAACCATCTGTCTCTTCACCGTGCTGGAACAGAAGCCCCCGTGTGCTGGCCAGGGACCACGCAGGGTTGTAGGGAGGGTGGGCATACACTGCTCATGGCTCTGTGCCCACAGAAGCCCTGTGGGACCCCCGGCACCGCGATGCCCTCCACTCATGGGTTGGGGACCATGTGGCAGGTAAAATGCATGAAGAGCTGCACTGCCTGCTGCGGAAGGGCAGGAAGCTTCGAATCTGTGGCCTTCCAAGGCACACGTATGCCAGGGATATGTGAAAGAACAGCCTCATGTTCTAGAACATTCTCAAGCACATGTTCTGAGCAAGCAATGGTGGCCACTAGAGTGTTTCTAACCCTCGTATCTGCTCCTGCCCTACACACAGCTGTACTCCCTGGAGAAGTGTGGCTGCCAGCACCTAGGTGCTGCCCAGTGGTAGCCGCTGCCTGCCCGGCGCGCTTACCTTTGATTTCTTTGGTAAACTTGACCCTTTGGGAATCAGTCAGAGGTTTCTGTTGTTCTTCAATACTTTTAAAATCCAAAACTTCACAGACAAACTCGATGACTGGCTGTGCCTTGTAGAATGCTGTCGCGGAAACTGTGGACAGGAAGGGGCAGCGGGGTGTGAAGGATGGGCAGCCTGCCCGCTCACACACACACCACCCCACAGGTTCTGATACACGTGCGCTTTGAATTTTGCAGAATTTTCTGCCTTGGGCACACTTTTTTAAAACTTAAAACATTTAACTTATACCATGGTATTTCACTTGCACATTTCACACAGTTGTTCCTCAACAAACGCGCTTCTGGACAGACTGATCTCATGTCCTCCTGGCTTCCCATAATGACTGACTCCCACACGGGACCGACCCCCTCCTCCCATCTCCACTCTCTGTATGTGAGGCCCAGGAGAGAGGCCCAGCTCCCAGCTGCTGGCTTCCTCCTGGGTCAGGCACGGGTGGTAGGGACCAGCAATTTGAACGATCATGGCTGCTCAGCAAGGTCTCCGTGAACAGGAAGCTGCAGCCAGTGCCAAGTTCAGACCCATGAGACGAGACACCGTCAGCTGCTGCTCTCGCCTTCAGCACACGGACAGTGGCATCTGCCACAGAGAACCACCCACACACTCCCAGTATAGGCTGCCAACACCCCAAGCTGGACCAGCAGGCTGCATGCGAGAGGAGAACCAGGGCTGTAGATTAACCAGGTTATCCTGGAACCAGGCAGGCACCTGACCTGCACCCTGCCACGTGCTGGCCGGCCCTGGGCTCGATTCCAGCCCAGGCTGCAGTGCAGACCGCGGGGCCCAGCTTACCGTCAATGTTCAGCATCATTTTCCAAAGGGAGGGCCGGACAGACTGATGGAAGCCGAACCACACCTCCCGGCCCCCGCCCAGCGGGTTGGAGCAGCCCTCGGACGCGGTGAAGAAGGAGCGGCCCACGGGGGTGTACCTGGAACCAGCAGAGCACAGCGTCACACATGCTCCAGGCCCACAGGCTGCTGCGCCATGCAGATACAAGCATGTGCACACACACATGTGGAAAGCTCGAGGAGCTCCACGCCCCGGACACTGCCTCCCCTGCCCCACGCTCCTGCCTGCAGCTCCGGCCTGCTTGGGGGAATGCGGTGCGAGTAGCAGCCCAGGGAGGCCTCACGCTTGGCTGCAGGAACAGTGAGACGGCGACATGGACCCGGCCAGCCTCCCTCCCCTGATGGTCTCTGGTGCTTACTTTCTATCAGGCAGTGCAGCCTCCCATCAGGCAGTGCAGCCTCCCATCAGGCAGTGCAGTACGTCCCATCTAGGACTTCCTAGAATGGGGCTCTGCCATGTACAGAAGCACAGGCGAAAGAGTGCTGGCTGACCTCAGCTGTGGCTGGGTGGGGCCGCAGGAACAGTCAGGGCTCGAGGACCTCACCGACCTGGTACTCCAGCCACCAGGCCCCCTACCGGGACAGGAGGCGTGCAAGGGCAGTGGGGACACAGCAGCACACAGCTCCACAGGGCCCGAGGCTGCATGGGGAGCTAACCCTGCTGACCACAGCAGACACCAAGTCCCCTTGGCACAATCTCATTACCAGGTGGCACAAGTGGAGGCCTGTCCGCAGGACGCCAGCCAAACACCATTTCCACCCACTACAGACTGCATTTGTAGCTGTGGCTTGTCGCTCCTGCCTCTCTGGCTATTGATAGTCCCCAGCAAAAACAGCACTTCCCCCCCCGACTGCAGAGCCCACCAAGATCTGGGGCAGCAAAGCCATAGTAATCCCTGCCACTCAGAACCAGCCAGACCGGGGCAGCCATCCCTGATGCCAGCGCCTCTACCTTCCCTCTCTCTGGCAGAGGTTCCAAGCAGTGAGATGATGGGCGGGGTCCCTACCCAAGTGACGGGGTCTATCTGGTCTCTGATCCAAGACGCCCTCTGGAACCCCTCGCCTGGTCCTGCGCGTGTTCTACGCAGCCACCAAGGCAGTGCCAACCCCTTGAAGCTGAAGGAGGGCGCAGGCTTTGCCTGAGGTCAAGGAGGCACAACGTAAGACAGGTGCCCCAGGGTTGGCTGTCTTCTCACCTGCCAGCCTCCCAAAGACACCAGGCAGGGCACTGTCCAGGCCCTGGTCCATGGGAGACCTGAATGGCTGCCTCCCCTCACCTTGGCATTCTGAAGTGGTAATTGTTGGTGCACTGTGAAGTGGGGAAAAACAGAAGCCTGAAGCGTAGGAATGCTCCCAGGGGATGGACATGCAGGGATAGGCTCCAAGTGCCATGTGTGCAGCCCACACAGGTCCAGGGGATGATACAGGCGACCCACTTTCTGACTCAGCTCTGTTGGTGACTCGTGCCCAGGGCACCTGCACCTTCCCCGCCAACTCCGGAAGTAGACTTTCTCGGACAGAGCACAGACGTCTCAGGACACCTCCAGGGCCAGCAGCAGGTGCCCTGGGCCTGGGGTCTCACGTGGCACCCTCACCTCATGGACGGCAAGTGCCTCATGACCACATCCAGGGCCTGGATCGTCTCGAAGGGGACGCTGGGGAGCCGCCCCGAAAGTGCATCGTGCAATGCCTGCAGGCTCACGCACGACACCCACTTGATGGACACCTTGAAGATGCGGTCCTTGCCCTCGCCCGGCAGTGTGACCTCCAGCTCCACCTGTGGGGTCAAGGTTCACAGGTCAGTGTCGGGCCAGTCTTCATTTCTGTCTAGTGGGGGCTGCACGTGAAGTGGTATTCAGCTTGTTGGCTTCGCTGTCTTTGAGAGGCAGACAGAAGCCCCGCCCTCTGCTTCACTCCCCACGTGACCACAGTGGCAGGAGCTGGGCAGGATGCAAGGCAGGAGCTCAGTGCTCCCTGAGGTCTCCCACCGGAGTCAGCTCCTACTGTGCCCAGGAGTGCCCATCAGCTGCAAGCAAGGCAGTCTGCCAGGGCCCGGGGCATTCCAAGCAGCATCTCCATCACCGTCCCAAAGCCAGCTCCTTGATGGCGACGGCCACCGCCTCCAGCGGCGGTGAGATACGCTCCATTGTCCCTGGCTCCCTCTAGGGTCAGGCGCACAGCGAGCCCACCGACACCACCGGGCACTTGCAAACCCACTCAGTGGTGATGAAGGTGATCTTGCGGCCTGCTCACCGCACCTCCCAGTGTTCATGGGATGTCTGCTTTTACACGGATCCTAAATGCCAAGAAACTCAGCGACAGAGACCCCGGCGCTTGTTAGACACACACACTCAGAGATTAAACACAGCACGAGAAACAGCACCATAAATGGCAGAGGCAGAGAGGGCCCCCAGAGGCCCTTGTACTAGGCAGGTGATGCATGGAGTGGCCAGGCCCTCAGCATGGGCTGGGGCTGCAGGTGCCCAGCCTTAGTCACTTAGGGCAGGTATTGGTAACACCTGCGGGAACCAGGTGCCTTCCCCAGGTTGCTGCGCCTGTGCCTGCACCAGGCTGCCTTCACATTCCAGGACAACACAAGCCGCACCCTGGCCTACTGCCACACCTTGCCTGGATCTCCAGGGAGCAGACTCCACGCTGTCATCTGCACACCCGAGCATCCCTAGGTACATGTGCTCTGGCCCAACAGCCCTCAGAGCACCACTGCACCTGCTGGCTCCAAACCAGACGTCTCACAGGTCCTTGCACCGAGCACAGCAGTGAACAAGAATCCTTAGAGCCCAGCAGGGAGACGGGCGGTGCGGCACAGCCCAGTTTCCGACCTACTGGAGCGTGGGCTGCTCTGGCTCTACGTCCATTCCCTGCTAAGGTGCCTGGGGGAGGGGCGGGCAGCAGGTGAGGCCCTGAGTCCCTGTCATGCATGTGGGACACTCGATGGAGTCCTGGACTCCTAGCTTTGGACTGGCCCAGCCCTGGCTATCAGAGGGATTCGGGAGTAAAGGCCTTTTGATGCTTTGCCATTCGAGTAGATGAAAATAAGCAAACACTGAAAAAGAGACTTGGGGTCGGCATTGTGGTACGGTAGCCAGAGCCACAGGTCAGCAGACCTGGCACAACAGCCTCGTAGCTAAATCCTCGCCTTGCATGTGCAAGGATCCCAGGACTGGTTTGTGTCCTAGCTGCTCCCTTTTCCCATCCAGCTCCCCTGCCTGTGGCCTGGGAAATGGTCGAGGACGGCCCAAAGCCTTGGGACCCTGCACCCACGTGGGAGACCTGGAAGAAACTCCTGGTTCCTGGCTTCGGATCAGATCAGCTCTGGCCATTGAGGCCACTTGGAGAGTGAACCGCTGGATGGAAGATCTTCTTCTCCTTTCTGTAAATCTGGCTTTTCAATAAAAATGAAAAAGAAGTTACTACCTGTGACACCAGCATCCCATAGGGCTGCTGGTTTGACTCCTGGTCGCTCCACTTCCAATCCAGCTTCCTGCTAATGTGCCTGGGTAAAACAGCAAAGGACGGCCCACGTGCTGGGGCCCTGCACCCACTCGGGCGGCTGAGATGGGACTTGCGGCTCCTGGCTTTCTCCTGGTCAACCCTGGCCATTGTGAATAAGTATATGGGTGGAAGGCCTCTCTCTACAACTCTCCCTTTCAAATCAATAAATCATCTTAAACAGGGGTGGGGGAGAGTTCTAACAGCACATGAGCATGGCAGCACACTCAGGGACGGGGTACAAGCTGCCAGGACCTGGCTGTGGGCACAGGGAGCTAGCCAGCATGAGGCACAACTCCTAATAAAGCCCCAGCCAGGTCATGAGGGGCACTGCCTGCAGGGAAAGTCAACAGCGCCCTCGGGTCAGAGCAGGTGCCGGCGTGGCCTCCACACCACGGAGGACAGCTGAGACAAGGGCAGAGCCAGTGCCGGGGCTGGCTGTAGGGGACGAGCTCACAGGGTCTAGGCATGCCTGGTGCCAAGGACAGAGTCAATGGGCAACAGAGGAAGAGAAAGCAATGGTGTGCACAGGCCACAGCATGCGCAGCTAACCGGGAGCTGACGATTCGCCTGGACGGCGGCACAGGAGGCCGGCACATACACTGCACTTGTGAGAGCTGGGGCCGGGCAGTCATTGTTACATGCTCTGTAGGAACTCCTCTGGGGGAGCTGGTGACAGCCAGTGGCACTGCTATTGGCACATGGGTACTGATTAAGTCTCAGCTGTTTCACTTCCCATCAGGCTCCCTGTCAATGTCCTGGGAAAGCAGCATGAGATGGTCAGAACGTTTGGGCCACTGCATCCACATGGGTGACCCACACGGAACTCCTGGCTCCTGGCCTTAGTCCAGCCTGGGCCACCGCAGCCATTTAGAGGGTGAACCAGCAGAAGGAAGGTCTTTCACTCTGCCTGCCAGACAAGCCTCTGCCTGACATGTTGCCAGCCAGGGCCTGCCCAGCAGTGGGGTTGTGGAATCCGATCCCACCAGCCCAGATGGCAATGCTGAAGGCCCCTCCAAGCTGCCAGGGGAGGGCACTAGGCCAGGAAGAAGCTTCCCTGGTGACATCACTCAGTGGGCGGAGCAGCATGTTAGGGACATGCAGCAATGGTGCAGGTGCGGCCACGGTGGCTGAGGCTGTTAGTCACCTGCCCTGAGTGGGACGTGGCAGGTGAGGACACTCCCCAGCCATGGGGACAGCTGCTGCACTCAGTGAACCTGTCAGCCAGCCCACGGGACACCTGCCTTGGGACCTCTCCACAGAGGCCACGGGCTGGCGGGTACCCAGGGAACGGACAACTGCAGGCCAACAGACCCAACATGTCGTGGGAGGGATCCAGTCTCCGCAGGCATGCCTGCAAGGTACAAGGTGCTGGGTGCTCCTGGTCCTGGCCAGGGATAGACACAAGGCAGGGCCAGGACAGTGTGCAGGGCTAGGGACTTGCAGCCCCTGCCATTTATGGCCAGGCACTGCCCAGGGCCTGCTGTAGCACCAACAGAGGCCAGCCGGGACCCATGGCCCGTTGCCCCTCTGAGCCAGCACCCCTGATGCTGGAGTGCAGGCTGGAGTCCTGCTGCCCAGCTCCCACCCCAGTTCCCTGTCAATGTGCTTGGGAAGCAGGCCAGCTCAGGCACTTGTGCCCCTGACAGCCACATGGGAGAGCTGGGTACAGCTTCTGGCTCCTGGTACAGCCGCTGCAGGAGCCAACCAGCAGAAGGAAGGTTTCTCTCAATGAGCTTCTTTCTTTCTCTGTCATTCTTTAAAATGCGTGTATAAATAAACCTTACAAACACAAAGCGAGCAGGCGGTGGGTGGCTGGAATTGCACAATGCCACCGTGGGGCGTCGGGGCTGGGCACGCCCTGGGATGCCCCTAACCGTCCAGGAATGGAGAATGGTTGGAGCCAAACTGAAGAGGCACTGAGTGCCCGTAGGTGCTGGGCCAGGAGTACTGAGCACTCACTAGGTGCTGGGCCAGGGGTGCTGAGCACTCCTAGGTGCTGGGCCAGGGTACTGAGTGCCCCTAGGTGCTGGGCCAGGGATACTGAGTGCCCCCAGGTGCTGGGCCAGGGGTGCTGAGCACTCCTAGGTTCTGGGTCAGGGGTGCTGAGTGCCCCTAGGTACGCATGTACCTTTTTGTCACACATATGTCGGTTACTCAGAGGCGTGTTATTTTTTCAGAGTGCTATAAGTTGTTGTTGATGTTATTGTTGTTGTTGTTATTGATAGGGCTATTATGAAATCATGTTAATCCGAAAAACAGTAATATTATTTCAACCCCAAACAGCCTGTAATGCAATAAGATACTGTGCAGCAACCAGTGAACCAACAACCGATATGAATCAGATTGCTTAGATCTACATCAAAGAATTGTAAACCTAATATACTTGTAAGGCCTTATGCTACTCAGAAGTGGAGAGGGAGAGCAGAGAAATCTTACATCACCCGAGAAGGTGTGAGGGAGACGGGAAGTATAACCTATCAGGATCATAACTGGTAACTCAGACAACAGACTCGCGTCAGCATCAGACAATAGCAAAACTACGAAGGCATATGGGGGGAATCAGGAGCAATCCCAACAACCTCTTAACAGGAGGTCATATGCACGGAGCGGGTGGGGACCCCAGAGTGGAGCAGGTGGACGGGAAGAGGCTTGTATCCCAACCCTGAAGACTCCCAGATCCTCACCAAGGACTACATCCCAACTGCCAAGGAGACCACAGGGAAATGGAGTGCCTTCAGAGGCCGAGAACTCTGAGGTCACCCATCCCCGTTTGGATCGCCCACATGGGATGGAAGAAGCCCAAATCCTGTCTTGTAGGATCTAAGGTCATCGGAACGACAACCAGGAGCCCTGAGCGGTCCGCAGAAACAGAACAGTAAACTTCCTTCGGAACTAGGGAGAGGAGCTTTCTCTGGTCCTTGCCTGATTCTGACTTTGGGTCCCCACCCTCACTGGCAATGACCATCAGGATCGTTCTGGAAACCCCTCAAAACTAACAAACAAGCAAACAACAAAAACAAAAAACTAGAATAGAAAGAGAATAACAAGGAAACAGACAGGAAACGGTCAGCGGGGATGCACTTACAACTCACTGGGTGGGACACAAAGATTAGTTACTCCTCACTAAGGTATTGAGGATTTCTCTGCACACCCCTCCTAAAACTGTTCACCTAAACTGTTGACATATGTCTTGTTAGAGTTAGAGAGTTAGACTACCTGAAAAACAGCCAGGTTCTGCAAAATCATGCTTCAACGCTATAAACTGCTAAATACTAAAATTAAAATAGACATGAGACAGCTGAATAGTAATCTATAGCCATTTTAAGGTGTATAGAACCCAGTTGTATATAAACTAATAATTGAAATGTCAATGTAGAAGTCACAGGATGTGGTTCAAAACTTGCATCCTTTTTTTTTTTTTTCGTTTTTAACATGTTGGTTACTCAATACCATGTCAACTACTTCCATAACGTTACAAATTGTTACTGCTGTAATTTCGGGGCTTTTAATTGATTGGGATGATACTCTGCTGGCTCTACCTTCAGACCAGAGATGGTCTCCCCAAGAAACCGATGAACTTATCTGGACAATAAGATGCTGGATTTTATATTGGTAGATGCTTGCAATGAAAGAATCTCAACTGAATTTGAACTGTGGTAATGCAACAAGGTGGAGGAATCCACCATGGGGGGGAGGTTGGGGAGGGGTGAGGGGAATCCCAGTGCCTATAAAACTGTGTCACATAATGCAATGTAATCAATAATAACAATTTAAAAAAAAGCCTACAGGTCCTGCCCCTCGCTGCAGCCGCACCCCTCCTGCAGCCCTACACCCCAGCAGCCCTACACCCCACACCCCAGCAGCCACGCCCCTCCTGCAGCCCTACACCCCAGCAGCCACGCCCCACCCTGCAGCCCCACACCCCAGCAGCCCTACACCCCACACCCCAGCAGCCACGCCCCTCCTGCAGCCCCACACCCCAGCAGCCCTACACCCCACACCCCAGCAGCCACGCCCCACCCTGCAGCCCCACACCCCAGTAGCCCCACACCCCAGCAGCCCTACACCCCACACCCCAGCAGCCACGCCCCACCCTGCAGCCCCACACCCCAGCAGCCCTACACCCCACACCCCAGCAACCACGCCCCACCCTGCAGCCCCACACCCCAGCAGCGCCACACATCCCCGCAGCCCCACACCGCAGCAGCAGCAGCCCTCTGGGTCCTCGGGGAGAAGGCAGGAGCAGCTTACCACAGAGGGGTGGGGCAGCCAGTGGGCAGCCAGGGCCACGGGGCAGGACAGCTGCGCGCCAATGGGGCTGCTCCTTCCACCCAACATTTTAGACAGTGCCAAGGAGTGACATTTGAGAGGGAGGGGGAAATTCTATTGCTTGTAAATCAAGCCCCAAGGAGGATGAAGATAAAAAGGTGACATTTGAATAAAACCACGCCTCTGGGAGAGCAGGGTCGCTGGCTACAGCAGATAGTAACACTCCAGTGCCTTCACTGCCAGGTGGTGGCAGCTTACAGCGTGCAGGCTGGGTGTGTACACACATCAGGGTTGTTCTGCACCTAACTCCATCACCAAGAACCAAACACACACAGGAAGTGGGCCGTTAATGCACCTTGGGAAACGCAGCTTCCCACCTGTGTCCTGAGCCCTCGCAGCCCACCTGCCCGCAGGACGCACCTTGTCCCTCCCAATGGGGAGCGGCATTGCCGTGTAGAGATTCTTCCTTCCGTCGAACACTGGCTTCCGGTCCCCGAAGATCTGCGTTTTAAAGTGCTGCACCATATGCTCCACTATCTCCCTGGAACACAGAACGGAGAAGGGTCAGGGTGGGCAGGCCTCACGATGGCCACAGCACTCTGCTGACACTGGGGAGAAGCCACCCAGGAGACCGCTCTGCTTGCAAGGGCCAGCCCAGGCACAGGGTCACCTCCTGCCCCTCACCACGCACCTCATACCGCACGCCCTGCGGCCCCTACACCAGGCCAAGGCTTTTCCACTGCACGCAGCAGACACAACCTGTGAGCATGCACACCAGAAGCCCAGTGTGGGGCCTGACAGCACACACAGGCGCCACCAGCGCGGCCTGGCCATGCCTCTCCCACGCCTGCTGGCCCCACACTGTCCAGCTCCCCTGCAGCTGGCCTAGGGGTGTGCCTGTACCTGCCCCTCTGAGGGTCCCCTCTGCCACCTACTGGGAGGTCACTGCAGGGCTGGCAGGGGGACAGGGCTGCTCCAGTGCCAGCCCTACCTGTCCTGGCCAGCGGCCAAGGGCAATCTCATCTTGCACTTCTCTTAGTGACTCTGGGTTGGATCAAGTTCAGGGGCAGCCAGACAGCTGTCTGGGGGTTCCACTCAAAATGAGAGGAATAAAGCACCTCGCTTGAATTCAGATAATTTCATGGAGTGCAAGGACATCTCCAACTCATCTTGGGAGACCAACTGTCCCCTCACCAGGCCCCTGTCGTCGGGAAGTGCCAATGCCAAAGCAAGATATTAACAACATCCGAGTCAATGGGCATTCGTTTACGTCAAAGTTCAGAGCATGCCAGCAGTGAGGGGGTCGTGAGTTCAACATCTGAAGGGACTCAGAGGAACGGTGAGCTCTGTGAGACTGTGAGCCCGCTGGGCAAAGACACCACGTGCAGGCTAAGCCAACTCCGGCTGCTCAACTTTCTGCCTACCAATGCCTACCAATGCCCCAGGGAAGGCAGGAGACCACAGTGCCCTAGGAAACTGGGTGGTGGGGTTGGAGGAATGTCCCACCCCTGCTCGCCAGCTTGCAGCTGTGGGGCCAAGCATGCCTCCAGGGATGCCCAGAACCCTCCTCACACAGGGGCAGTTGCGAACATGCCAATCAGCGCTCAGATACGCCCCAGTGACCCAAGCCATTCAGGCCTTATCCTAGGGCGAATTCAGCCTCCGCCACATGGGGCTTCCTGGGGACACGCGGGCCTGCTGGATGGCAAACCCCCTAGGGCTGGCACCTGCCCAGTGCCTGCTCTGAAGGAGTTTGCACAGAGAGCTGAGCCAGATGCCGGGCTGGGCACACAAGAAGGGCGAGCCACTACTAGCTGGGAAGAGGACAGCTGCTGGCCCGGGAGCTGGCCCTGCCACACCCCACTATGCACGTGTCTCTCTGTCACACACAGCAGCAGCCAGCACGAGGCGGCTCACTCACACACAGGGCCACCACTTCTAGTGACATGTGCTCGAGTGCAGGTGCCTGGAGAGTCACTGCTTCAGGATGGCCAGGGCCAGGCGACCTCCGGCTGTGTCTCCAGGACTGACAGGGTGACGGGAGACAGACAGCAGGAGAGGGCAGAGTGAGCCAGCTGCCTCTAGGGGCATAGTGAGGACTCGAGTGCTCCTCTTCCACCCTCCGCCCACTCTGACCTGGAGCACCGTCCTGCTTGGCCTCTCTTCCCACTGCAGACAGGAGGGGACTGCCTCATGGCTGCGCTGTCCCTGGGAGCTTGGTATATGCGGAGGCAAGGGGCCCAGGCACTAGTGTATGGCTTCATAGACATGACAGCTCAACTCCCAACCTCTTCCCATACACAAATGATCCTAGCTATCAGACCGGATCTTGGCCAAGGTGTATCTGATTTGACAGCCAAACAAAGAATCTCACAGCCTCACACGCTGCAGCAGGCGACAGTTCCCAGGTCAGCTCAAAACCAGGGGCTGACGTTGGCCACAAACAGTTCCAGACACCCTGCTCACCGTGTGACCGTGACCGGCGAAACCACAGCAGGTGTGGCACGGGGTGGCCAGGATCAGGTGCCTCTCTCACACCACTGCCCTGCCCACACAGTGCCAGGCTGCCACAGCAGAGTGCCACGGCCCAGCCCCATGCAGCCCAGGAGTCACGCCTGCTTCCTCAGCAGCATGTACGCCGTGCAGCCCAACACAGGTCCCAGAGTTGAAGATGCACTGTGGCCGCCACCCTCTGCTGTGTCCCCAGGCCTCTGGGACATGCTCACTCCTCACCAAGGTCATGGCCAGCAGCGGGGTGGCCTGGGAAGGGACCTCATGGTGGGCACCTGTGCAGCACTGGGGACCTACCTGCTGCCCACTGCAGCTGAGCCCTGTTTCTAAGCACACCATGCCAATGAAAAGTGTCCAGGCTGGGATGGGCGTTTGCGCTGTGCCTGCATAGAGGCTGATGTTTTGGCCTTTTCAATGACAAGGCAAGAATAGTCAAACTAGGGTCCAGCATGGTGGCCTAGTGGCTAAAGTTCTTGCCTTGCATGTGCCAGGATCCCATATGGGTGCCAGTTCTAATTCCAGAGACTCTGCTTCCCATTCTGCTCCCTGCTTTTGGCTTGGGAAAGTAGTTGAGGATGGCCCAAAGCCTTGGGACTCTGCACCCACATGGGAAACATGGAAAAGGGGCTTTGGATCGGCTCAGCTCCAGCTGTTGTGGCCACTTGGGCAGTGAATCAACAGACAGAAGAACTTTCTCTCTGTCTCTCCTCTCTGTATTTGTGAGTTTCCAATTAAAAAAAAAAGGAACAGTCAGACTGGATCCAAGCACATGTGACTGCGTGACTTCTACTGGGGAAGAGCCGCTGACATGAGTGCATGCACACACACACACACACGCACACGTGTGCACTCCATCTGCTGGGGACGAGCCGCTGACATGAGTGCATGCACACACGTGTGCACTCCATCTGCTGGGGTAGAGCCGCTGACATGAGTGCATGCACACACACATGCACGCACACACGTGTGCACTCCATCTGCTGGGGATGAGCCGCTGACATGAGTGCATGCACACACACACGCACGCACACACGTGTGCACTCCATCTGCTGGGGACGAGCCGCTGACATGAGTGCATGCACACACACACACACGTGTGCACTCCATCTGCTGGGGACGAGCCGCTGACATGAGTGCATGCACACACACACGCACGCACACATGTGCATTCCAGTGTTAACATCGGACACAACAATGGTAACGCTGTACCTGGGTTACGTTAATCAATCACATAAAACCCACCGCTGTTTGATAAGAACAATCAAACAGACATCCCTCTCCCTGACAGGACCGATGTTCCACAGAAGACAAGCCCAGTGTGCAAAGTCAGACCCTGCAGAAGGGAGATGAGCCTGCAGCCCCTGGGATGGGGCCATGCTGGGGTAATACCACCAATGCTGCCCGTGGCACCTACAGAGAGCAGCACAACATACCTGCTGCCACACGCTCAGCCACGCAGCAAGCCTCTGAAGTCGGACACAGGACGTGCTGTGTTCACACTGGCACTGAATCCGTCGTCAATGCCAGCTCAACAGCACATTTGTAAAGCCCATGATTAGGGGAGAGACCACAAGGAAAGGAGATCGTGCGACAGAAATGAAAACTGAAATGCAGGTGTCAAAAACTGCGGCCACAGCTTTTTAAACTTTCCCTCTTCTTTTTGAATTGTTATTTGAGAAGCGGAGTTCTCCAAATGGCTGCAACAGCCAGGACTGGGCCAGCCAAAACCAAGAACTCCAGGTCTCCCACGTGGGTGCAATGGCCCCAGCTTCTGAGCCATCTTCCATTGCTTTCCAGGCACATCAGCGGGATTCTGCACTGATGCCCATGTGGGATGCTGGAGTCACAGGCGGTGGCCTAACCCACCGCCTGGGGGCCTGGCATGGTAGCCTAGTGGCTAAAGTCCTGTCCCTGCATGAACCAGGATTTCATATGGATACCAGTTCTAATCCTGGCAGCCATAATGCCGCAGCCTTGGCTCCAGTTCAAAGAGGAAGGAGACTGACTGATCTTGTTACACAGCAAAAGAAGATAGGTTTAAAACTGATGACCCAAAAGGCAAACGAACACCAAAAAATCAGAGGAGAAAAATGGCAAGAGAAATCAGTGAAGTTAAAAAGCTAGTTCTGGGTCCGGCGCGATAGCGCAGTGGTTAAAGTCCTTGCCTTGCACGCCCCGGATCCCATAACCCCGATTCTAACCCCGGCAGCTCCACTTCCCATCCAGCTCCCTGCTTGTGGCCTGGGAAAGCAGTCGAGGACGGCCCAAGCCTTGGGACCCTGCACCCGCATGGGAGACCCAGAGGCGGCTCCAGGCTTCTAGCTTCGGATTGGCTCGGCTCTGGCCATTGCGGCCACTTGGGGAGTCTATCATCGGACAGAAGATCTTCCTCTCTGTCTCTCCTCCTCTGTGTATCTGATTTTCCAATAAAAATAAATAAATCTTAAAAAAAAAAAGCTAGCTCTGAATAAGGTAAACGTATCATAAACTCCTAGGAGGAAAACAAACGAAACAGATATCACCAAGTGACAGATACTGCCTGTGAGACAGCAGACTGACCCACAAGCCCAGCCCCAAGCGTGACCTCTGCTCAGCCCCGAGACACAAAGTAGCCAACTGACAGCAAAAGAAACAGAAGTGTATCAACATGTGGGATGTGGCAATCTGCCTTACCAAAAACTCTCCCCGGGGCAGGGGAAGCCTGGTTGCTCCCTGGCACCAGGTCCACCAAGGGGCAAGCCCACACTCCGAGTCCCGGCACAGCCTCGGTCTCCCTCGAGACCAGCATTTACCCCGGACGTGCTGGCTTAACTTCCAAAACACACAGGAAAAGGCAGACACAGCCTCTGGCAGAATTTGGGGCTCCTCCGTGGAGCCAGAGCAGGCTGGGGCCCTGCCCTGCAGCAGACAGCGCTCACCGAGATGAGAGCTCCTGGCAGGCTGGACCCGGGGGGAGGGGGGCGCATCCGCTGTCATCCCCCACAGGACACGTTAGCGCCAGCAAGCCTGCAGTCATTCAAAGACAATGCATTCTGACATCCCGAGACAGCACTCTGCTAGTGCTAAATGAGCTCACGGAAAGTGGGCGACGCGGGTCCCAAGCTTACAGTGTTTCCACCACAAAGGCACGCCCCATGTTACTGGTCTTTCCATCCCTGCTTGGGAATGAAATTGCAGGATTTCATTTACAACACTCTCAGGCCCATGGTGATCAGCATGTGAGCGAGTCCAGGCGGCCTCCGAGGAACTAAGGGATCAGAACAGCCACATTTGCAGGACTCATGTAATCTAAAGTTTAAAAAAAGATTTATTTATTTTTATTGGAAAGACAGATATAAAGCAAGGAAGAGAGGTAGAGAGGAAGATCTTCCATCTGATGGTTCACTTCCCAAGCAATCGCACGGACATAACTATGCCAATCTGAAGCCAGGAGGCCGGAGCCTCATCCAGGTCTCCCACGTAGGTGCAGGGTCTAAGGCTCTGGCCCATCCTGCACCGCCTTCCCAGGCCACAAGCAGGGAGCTGGATGGAAAGTAGGGTTGCCGGGATTAGAGCCAGCACCCATATGGGATCCCGGCGCGTTCAAAGCAAGGACTTTAGCCACTAGGCTACTGTGCTGGGCCCTGTAACTTAAATTTTAACACAGCTCCAAGTTAAGAGTCTTAAGATGGAACAGGAGATAATCCAGAAAGAGACCTACATGTGTAACACACAAAAGACCTGCACATGTCACAGACCCACACATATAACACAGAATGCACACGTATTACAGAGAAGATCCACACAAGTAACATAGAACAAAGCCACGCAGAATAACAGAACAACACAGAGCTCACGTGTGTGGCACAGGACAGACCGCATGTGTAAAGCAGAGAGCCCCAGGCTCAGCACAGAACAGCCCTCCGCGTAACTTCCCTGACGGCCACTCGGAGTCGGGAATCGGTGTTCTCCGTGGACCTTCCCAGCACGTGGCACACAGACTACCCGGGCTGCAGGACACATGCCCTCCACGGAAGACGGGCACAGTGGCAGCTACATCAACACACCCACCGGAAGGACTGCAGAGAACTCCAACAGCACACTGCCTACAGAGACCTGGCAAGGGGGCGGCAGGCTGGAGGCCGGGAGAGCAGGCCACTCTCAAGCTGGACCTAAGCTAAGTGCCAGGTTCCTGGCTTTGACACTAACCTCATGCTCATTGCTGGGGCACCTGGGGATTGCATAGAAAATGTCAATCTGCCTCTCTAACATTTTTTAAATTATATTCACATGAAAAACAAAAAGGGCCTGGCACATAACTTAGTGGTTAAAGTCTTTGCCTTGTTTATGCTGAGATCCCTTACGGTCGCCAGTTCGTTTCCCAGCTGCTCCACTTCCCATCCAGCTCCCTGCCTGTGGCCTGGGAAAGCAGTAGAGGACGGCCTGAAGCCTTGCGACCCTGCACCCACATGGGAGACCCAGAAGACACTCCTGGCTTCAGATCGGCTCAATTCCAGCCATCGTGGCTACTTGGGGAGTGAACCAGAGAATAGAAGATCTTTCTCTCTGTCTCTCCTTCTCTCTGATTTTCCAATAAAAATAAATTTTAGAAATCTTAAAAAAAAAAAAAGCCCTCAGACAGACAAACAAAAAACAAACTATCACCACCAACAAAAACCCCATAAGAGACTGGCTCTGTGGCGTAGGAGACAAGGCCACTGTATGTGACACTGGCTTCCCATATGGGTGCAAGTTCAGGTCCCAGGTGGTCAACTTCCAGTGCAAACCCTTGTAATGTGCTGGTTCCACAGGGGAGATGGCCCAAGTCCCAGGGAAGACCCGGAGGGAGCTGCTGGCTGCAGCCTGACCGTGCTCGCCGTGCTCCTCCACTGCGGAGGGCGCCAGCACAGGAAGATGTGTCTCTCCCGTGTATATATGTATGTCTTCCTTTCTTTCCAGCCTTTCAAAAGGCAAGTATCCCCCTAAGTAGACCTGCATCTAAAAGAACTTACAAATTAGTGAAAACAAAGCAACATAACCACCACGCAAAGCCAACAACCTAGTAAAAGGTGGCAGGGACCTGGTCAGACATGCTGCCGAAAGTCCCGTGGCTGTGTCTGGGCACACCCCACCCACGCGAGCACAGGGCTCGGCTGAGCAGGGCTCAGGAATGTGGAACTTGGGCACGTCCAGCGCCCCAGTGAGTGCAGACCAGGACCAGGAGTGGCCAGGCCCGCCATACCAGCCCCTAGAAGCAGAACAGCATTTGGGCCTCAGACAACAACGGGCAGTCAGCGGAGGGCAGTGAGCACATTGTCCGCCAGGAGAGCTGAAGAGGAAGCCCAGAGCAGCTTGAGTCCGGTGGCCATGCCTCAGGTGTCCTGGGATCCCACAAGAAGACGACAAGGACACCTGATGGGTGACAGCTGCGAGCCCCAAGTCTCTGCAGGCTGGGAAACTGGCCCTGTGGAACCAAGCTGGCAGGGTGCTGTGGGAACTGTGGGGTAGGGACCTGCTGCAAGTGTGCACAAGGCGGTCCAGGGTAAGGGAAGCACCTGCCGGCCACAGCTCCTGGCCGGGGACACACGCACCACAAGGCATCCCCAACAGGATGAAGACATCCTGGAGGCAGACACAGGCGGTGCTGATGCGGAGGGACCCGTGAGGGTGCGTTGCCACACAGTACCTGTTCACTCTCCTGGGGCATTTCTCAGGCTTGATGTCCAACTCATAATGATAGATGTCAATCTTGGGGATGTCCATCTCAAAGAAGTTGGCCTGCAGCTTGATGGTTCTGCCAGAGGTCCCGAAGTCGGGCCTCGGGGGAGGCTTGAAGGCATAGCCCTGGATGGGCGGCGGCGCAGGAGGCGCAAGCACTGGAAAACAGGAGATGGATCATTACTCGCTTGCTGTGTTGCTAGCCATTGCACCTGCTTCCCTCTGACCACCTTCCCCCCAGCCCCTCCTCCCCTGGCGACACCCCATGTCCCTATTCTAACTCTGGCATACGCAGTGCTGTAGCCCAACAGCCATGCAGTTCTGTGAGCACTGGGTACACCTGGCAATGCTGTGCACCTTTCCTGTTCCAGCCGCTCCCTCTTGGGTCACTACCCTGCTTGGTCCCAGCCCACGACAGAATGGCCATGGAGCTGGCCGAGGTCCTGGAGCATGCCCCAGGATCTGCCCTCCCAGCAGGTGTGGGAGGTGCAGGCTCCTTCCCATGTTCCCACCACCCGCTCCTGCCCTGGCAAGGGCCATTGCTGAAGCTCCACAGTGGGGCTCTGGGCTCCCTGGCACCACTGTGTCCAGCCCAGCAGCATGCCAATATCTCATCTCCTGGGGCATGTCACTTCACAGCCAGGTCTCTGTCTTTACTCACGACTCCGGAGCCACCCTAACCCCCACCCTGCACTGGCCTCTCACTAGCACAAGCACCCCAGTCCCATTTCTGAGGTCCTCTGTCAGACGGGACCTCCCATCTCCAGGACTCCAGCACCCCAACACATGGTCAGAGTCCCAGAAACACTTGACCAATGGCAGCCCTCACAGCCGAGGAGTGACATGTGGGGAAGGCTCCTGAGGACACCCTGGAGTGGCCTCTACAATGACCGCCCTCGGGAGTTGCCAACAGCAGAGGCACTTCTCCCATGCACCCGTACAGCAGCCACTGCCCAGCCACCCCGCCAAGGCCATGTCCCCACCTCCACTGGTGACCCACAGGTCAGCCCCTGGCTCCCACCCCCGCCTCACAGCAGGCCTAGGGCCACGAGGAGACTGCGATGAAGGCCCCCTCCGAGTGGGCCAGGGGGGCCCTTGTGCTCCACTGCCGCTGCTTTTCTTACTTTTTTCTTTTTTAAGATTTATTTATTTATACTGGAAAGGCAGAATTATAGAGAAAGATCTTTCATCCACTGGCTCACTCCCCATATGGCTGCAATGCCTGGAGCTCAGCTGATCTGAAGCCAGGAGCTTCTTCTGGGTCTCCCACACAGGTACAGGGCTGCAAGGACTTGAGCCGTCCCCTACTGCTTTCCCAAGCAAGGAGCTGCACGGGCAACTGAACAGCCTGGTGACACCCCGCGTTGAACAGGAGTTAGTGTTCCTAAGGGATGTGGCTGTTCGCAGGCAGAGGATTAGCCAACGGAGCCTTTTTAGTTGGCCCACTGCTGTCTGTTTTCCTGTAAGGCGGGGGCAGAGGGGGCGTGTGAGCGAGCTCCTGCCTGCTGGTGCACTCTATACCAGGAGCTGGGAACCCAACCCACACCGTCGCACGCAGGTGACACAGACCCAGCCAGACGCACTGCGGGCACCTGGGCTGGCCTCAGCCGCACGCACTCTCCTGCCAGGACTCCGTGCTGCTCTGTATTCTGGCGTCAGCATTGAAACAAACCCCATCACGCACATTTCCACTAATTCCATTTAGCAAGTTCCCAACTGTGGGTTTTGAAAAACACCAATTAAATATTCATTGACTTACAGAACTTCTAATTTTCAATCAAATGTCTTTGTCTCAGATAACATGCTCTCTTATTTTAATCCCATGACTTCAATCCTTACTGGCAGTCATCAGACACAAAAGTCCTGTTTCTAAGAACAGCATGGGCGCGCTGCTCCTACTGTATTTCTGACCCGGAAAAACCCAGAGTTCTTGAATCCCACGGCTTTTGTTTTCTGTAAGGAAACGGGCGCCGACGATGACTCAGCTTGCGGAGTGACACCATCTGGAAACCTCAGGTCTGCACTGGGCGGTGACAGATCTGGGGACACGCCCCCTCCTCTTCCCTCCCACCCTGGCCCCGAGCAGGCAGCCACTGACACAGGCCTGGGGAAGGTGGGGACACACCACAAGCTCACGTATGCCCTGAGAAGGCAGCAGAGGGTGGTCCAGACACCCACACGGGAGACTGGGGTGGAGCTCCTGCATCCACCCGAGGGGTGACCCAGTGGGCGACAACCCTGCTGCCTCGTTGCCTTGAAAACCAACAAATCAATCTTTCCTTTTACTTAAACATTTATTTCACTTCTTATTTGAAAGGCAGAGTTACAGAGAGAGAGAGAGACAGGGAGAGAACTTCCATCCACTGGCTCACCCCCCAAAACGGCTGCAACAGCTGGGACTGGGCGGGGTTACAGCCAGGAGCTTCATCTGGCTCTCCCACATTGGACCATCCTCTGCTATTTCCCAGGCACATTAGCAGGGAGTTGGATCCAGGACTCGAACTGGCATCCACATGTGGATGGCAGATTAACAGAGGTCGCCACAAACCCAGCCTTAAATCTTTTGTAAACTCACTAGAAGGTAAAGAAAAACAAAGACAATGAAAGCTGCCTATAACCAACTCAGAGAGATGCCCCTGGGCAATGCCAGGCTGGGGAAAGCTGTATGCAAGGCTAACCGGGCAGGTGGTAACCACACACCTGCTACTCTCACCCAGCATCAAACAATACCTAGCAAGCACTTTCTGGACACTCTGGTGACCACATCACTCCTAGAGCGCCATCTTGGTGCCATCCCAGCCCCTGTGCAGCATGGAGGTGCCAGGCACCGGGTGGGCCCCTCTCCCCCCACCCCTGCCCTTCCCTGGCCAGGCTATCACTCCAGCTGCAGTCTGCTGGCCTGGAAGCCAGCCGGTCGCCTCAGTGACCAAAGGTCTGCCTGTTGGCACCCAGCTGGGCTCAGGACCACCCCGGCCCCTGGGAGGCAGGGAGTGCCTGACAAAGATGGCACATGCACAAGGTGACAGCCCAGTGAGACAGGTTCGCAGCAAGACCGTCATGGCCGCCATTCTCTTCTTGGACATCCTCACCCAGCCCTCCCTCGGCAGGAACCGATGGGTAAATGGCCGGGGCATGGAGCTATTGCCAGGGCAGGGCACGCTGCCCCTCCACTGCTGCCTGTGGCTGCAGAGCAGGCCTGGCTTCCAGCCTCCTGGGCAAAGGGAACCACGTGGCCCAGGGGGTTCTCACCTGTAATCCTCCACACGTGCACAGGACACTCCCAGACCTGCTTCCTGCTAACCTCTCCCTGACAGCGAGCACCTCTGTGAGAGGAAGGTGAGCAGGTCACCACAGAGCTGCCCGACAGCAGTCCGCAAGGCCGCAGACACGTGGTCCTGGCCAGCTCTGGCACTGTGCTAACTGTTCAGGCACAACCCGGCCCGTCTGCCATCCCCAACCTGCAGGTGTATCTTGTCTTTGAAAACCATTATTCTGGGAAGGGCCTCCAGTGAGCGTCACAGGCTGCTGGAGAGCACATGTCACACCCAGTGAAGCGGTGCCTGCTGTTAGGGACAGAACACAGCAACATCACCCTCCCATGGTGGAGAAGGCAGGGCTGGCCATTCCACCACCTGCACCTGCCTGGGGTCCTGGGAGGGAGCAGCTCTGATGCCAGAGCAGCACCAGGCAGGCTGGTGGCTAGGCAGGCTGGCCGGGGCTCTGCTGTCTCCATGGCTGCACTGACGTGTACTGAGCTCACGATTTACCTGCTGCCATGACAACCAGGCTCTTGCCTTGTCAGGCTTGGTACACCCGCAGGCGGCCAGAGTGCAGGGGCTGGGGCTGAGCAAGCAGACACCCCGATGGGCTGACGGCGGCACCTTAGCCCCGTGTCCCCATGTGCTGTGTGCAGTCCCCCATGCCCTAGGGCAAGCTGTCATGGGAGAAAGCAGTGGCTGCGAGTGGCTGAAGCATCAGTGGGCTGATGCCCAAGGGTGCTCAGCACATGTGGCCAGGCCTACCGCACTGTCCCAGGCACCTGGACTTCCCATCCAGTGCAGACACCAAGGTCTCATTGGCAGCATACAGCACCAGGCTGAGACAGTGTCTGCGGCCACAGCCAGCACGTAATACATCACAGAGCTGGGAGCAGGGCGTTGCCTTGGAGATGGAGCGGGTTGAGAATAACCGCCCCTGCCCTTCCCACCTGCTGTGAGTCACTGGCCAGGGGCCCTGCACCATGTGCTGCCAGGGATGCAATGTCAGCGAGGGAGGGGTGTGCTTGAGGATAGACTGGAAAATTGGAGCTCTCCCTGCAGGGGCGTGGCCAGCAGCCATGCCCGCCCCCGTTACAAACAGGTTCCTGCCACTTCACTGCGAGCTACCCGACCTGTTAAAAAACAAAATCTGCAGGAGTGTTCCCTCCCCGTTACTCCCAAGTTCCTTAAAAAATAACTCAGTCATATAGAAAGCACTAAGCTGGTCAGCCTGAGAATACCACTATGGCTGCCTCGGAGAAACACTCCCAGGGCCACAGCTGCCCACGGCCGCCACTACACCTCGCAGGAGAAACCTCTCTCCTGCACATTTTGAATACATGTTTCCTCATGAGCTACAAAAGCCCCTGTGGCTCACCGTGTCACCCCCAGCTGCATCAGAAATGCTGAGAGAAGGACCAGCGTGCAGCGCCACAGGTTAAGCCTGCAGCGGCCCCTCAGTGGCCAGTTGTAGTGGCTCCAACTGCAGACAGTGTGCGGTGGGCTGCGTTGGTCCACGGCCAGCCCGGGTGTCCTGGGAGGTGGTACTGGGATCACTGCTGAGTAGGACTTACAGGAGTGAGGCTGTTTGCCAACGGGAGAGGAGGAGGGCCATTTCAGGCACAGTGGTTGACAGAGCTTGGTCCAGCATCCTAGCAGGAGACACTGGGTTCGATTTCCCGTCCCACTCCTAATTTCAGCCTATTAATGCATCTGCTGGGGCAGGGAGAATTGAGTGAGGCCCTGGTACTTGGGTCCCAGTCACCCACAGGGGAGCTGCAGATGGAGTTACACATGACCACAGCAGCATTCCTGGTGGAGGCCCAGGGCCAAGACACGGGCACACATGGCGTGGAACTGCCCCTGCAACCAGAGCCTTGCCCCTGTCCAGCCCAACTCCA